ATAATTTCTATATCTATATAGGCTTGTCAAACCATTCTACATATAAGATATAGGAGTATAAACTGGACTTCAAAATCTTTACTACGTGAAAGGGAATGCAGTTGTACATAGGTAATAATCACTACATGGACAGTCAAGAGTTCTCCAAGAGAGAGTGGTGGGGGAAAAGGGACATAATACCTGTATCCTTTTTTTTTTTTACATTTATTATTTATATATTTATTTTATGTGTGTTGGTGTTTTGCCTGCATATATGTCTGTGTGAGGGTTTTGGATCTCCTAGAACTGGAGTTACAGACAGTTGTGAGCTGCCATGTGGGTGCTGGGAATTGAACCCGGGTCCTTTGGAAAAGCAGTCGACGCTCTTAACCTCTGAGCCATCTCTCCAGCCCAATACCTGTATCCTTAACAGTGTTGTCTCTTCTCTAGACGTACCGTACACTGTGCCCAGAGCTTGCTGTCCTTCGGGGGCTGTGAGGCAGTTCAGACTTAGGCTTTAACTCCCTGCGAAGAAGTCCAAGTTGGAGTTGGCTGTCTCTCCACCCCGCATGTCCACAGCACTTGTAGAGCCCTACAGCTCCAGCCTTAACCCCCAGACCACCCTGAAGTTCTCAGACTGGACCTTCATGAAACAACAAGACCATCTATGGCACCTGTCCCTGCAGCTTGGACACTGAGCACTTGACCTACAACAGGTTCATCCGCCAGATCGTGTCTTCCAACTCCCTGTGTTTGATAGTGCCCTCAATGTGGACTTACTGGAGTTCCCGATCATTCTGGTGCCCTACCCGGCATCTAGGTTCCTGATGACCTACTCACCTTTGTCTCAGCTGAGAAGGCCCACCACGAGCACCCCTGCTGGGTCAGAGATTAGTGAGCACTAAACTGTCTAGTCAGATGGTCAAGAATGGCAAGTGCATTGCCTGCCATCTGCTCCACTGTGAAAACTTAGAGCCTGTGGATGTGATGCTGCTGCTGTCGCTGCTGCCCAAGTCCAAGTGCAGCATCCACTGAAAACTGCTGTCCCACAGGGCTCAAGACAAGTTGAGGGTGAAGAGAAGAATTGGCATGTGGCCCACGTCGTCACTAAGAGAAAATCCAGGAGACACAAAGGCACTGGGGATGGGAAGAATGGGGCAGGTAACCCTTGAACTGTCAGAGAAGCGAGGCCTTTGGGCCAGCAGCCAAGGGAGTGGCCTCCTCCGTCCCATATGCCAGGGGCATAGCCACATGATCGGGCTCTCCGTCTGCAGGGAATAGGTCCCCACCTCCCCAGGATCTTGCTGTGGAGATCAGTCTAAGGAGGACTTGAGATCCTCCTGCTGCAGCCTCCTAAGTGTGCGTCGCACACCTGGCTGGGAGAACAATTTGGGAAGTACAGAACGGCCGTCGGCAGATGAGGGGTGTGGGAGTTGGCAGATGAGGGGTGTGGGAGTCGGCAGATGAGGGGTGTGGGAGTCGAAAGGCCGCTTGTGTTCTTCACCTGTGAACACTGTCATTTCCTCCTGCGGTCATAAATCCATTTGCTCCCCACCTCGTCACCCACCCCATTCCTGAGGTGCTGGCATAGAACTTAGTTTAAGTTTTATGGGCTTTGCTCCAGAGCAGTGGCTTTCAACCTTCCTAGTGCTGAGACCCTTTAATCCAGTTCTTCACGTGGTGACTCCCCCAACCATGAAATTATTTCCTTGCCACTTCCTAACTGTAATTTTGCTACTGTTATGAAGATAAATGTAAATGTCTGATGTACAGGATATCCGAAATGGAACCCCTGGTGGGGTTGAGACCCACCTATGGAGATCCGCTTCTAAGGCAGCCGACTCTAGAAAGATTAAACATGGCGGCAGTGGTATCAGAAAGCATACTCTGCCTTCCTGCGCTGTGACATTGCCATGGATGTGACCACAGCTGGATAGGAGGCAAGGACCCCTGGACTTACAGATAATAGTTATTTACTGGTGGTGTAAGGGTGTAAAGGGTAGTTCTGTAGTGCAGACTGCAAAGTGTGTGTGTTGGGGGCGTGCATCTTGGGAGACTCGCTGTTACTGTTCCCACATTAGGAAAAGTTTAGCTGCTCAGAGGAAGACTGACTGCTTTTAGGAGCCAGTGAACTTGCTGCCCTCAGTGGCACTGGCTAGAAGCAACGTGTGTGTGTGTGTGTGTGTGTGTGTGTGTGTG